TCTCTCTCTCTCTCTCTCTCTCTCTCTCTCTCTCTCTCTCTCTCTCTCTCTCTCTCTCTGCAGGGATTCTCTGATGCTAATGGGCTGGCTCAATAGGTGATCGTCGTTCTACCACAGATGAATGTGTCATTTTCGGAGGTATTCTTATATCTTGGAAAAGCAAGAAACAGACTGTAGTTGCTTGTTCAAGTGCTGAGATTGACTATCGATCAATTGCTCACCTAGTAACAGAGATTTTATGGCATCGATATCTCCTATCTGATTTGGATTTTCCTATTTCTTCAACAATTCTGTTGCATTGTCATAATTGAGCCACGATTCACATCTCTACTAATCCAGTGTTACATGCGCGAACAAAACACATTGAAGCTTATTGCTACTTTATACATGATGATGTCCGCAAGAAGGTGGTGTTGCTTACTCATGTTCCCTCTAGTTCTCAGTTGGCTGATATTTTCATGAAAGCGCTACCGGCAAAATTATTCAACTCTTTTTGGGGACAAGCTGGGCTTTGCTAATTTCTATGCTCCAGCTTGAGGAGTATTAGAGATATGCTAAGAATATTCTCATCCCTCAATTATCTCCATGATTGTGGTGCATATGTTAATTATGAAAGATTGACCAAGCTAATATGGCAAAAGACAAAGAATATGTAATTGATGTAGTTGAAGATTCTTAGGGATACAATTAGCTTACCTTGTATAGATTTCTTTGATGTATATAAACCCACCATATGTATATATGAATCAATCAATGATATAGTTCTTAAAACTTACAACAATATCTAGTCTAAGCCTTTCCTTCTACCTAGCTTGGTGAAGTTGAGTTAGAGAAGCTGTGCGGCACTTCAAGGATTCAATTAGAGCATGGTTGTAATTGTTAAGTGACAATCAGGAAACTTCTGGTGAAATAAAGTGATGACATCTAAGGATCCGGGAATAAATTGTCAGATCCAATAAGGAATTGGAATGACCAAATACATTATAATTTAAACTAAGCACATCTTGAGCAATAAGCAACAAAGGCAAAGTGTCGTCTCAAATTGGTGTTGCTTAGGGAGAGACTCGTTCCAGCATATTGCAGCTCAGGCGCAACTCCAATCGAGCAGAGCATTACTCAGACAGAATATTTATAGAGCAGTTTAGAGAAAGTGTTATCTTGTGTAGCAGGGCTACTCAGGAAGAGCACCGGATTTTGCAAATTGCTCTACTCCGACAAAGTGTCAGCTTGTGCCGCACCTTGACCTCCTTGTTTCAATGTCTGAAACATGCAGAAAATGCTAAGCTTCATCGGAGCAATATCCCGTGCAGAGAGACCCCTAATGCAGTGTGCTCCCACAACTGTCATTGCTTTGAGCAATGTGCTCAACGTGTCGCCTTGAGCAGCATATTGCTCAGGCCTAGGTTTAGGTATGTGCTGTCTTGAGCAGTGTGCTCAAGCATATGAGTGCCGCGAATGATGCTTACAAGAAAAGAAGTCTAATTCCCTCGGTTAAATAATAAACGGTCTCTGTTGAAATATCTTTTTTCAAACTGGATGATAGGGATGTTTGCAGAGCTAAGCAAAGTATCCAATGGGGAAAACCATCGAAGAGCAATGATAGGTCTACATGAACAACTTCTAAGGACCTTTAGAAGCTAGTGATTTTCCATAAAGTAACATTATACCGAGGTTGCTTGTAAAATAGTTCATGGGGATTGTATAAAATTTTGCTGATGAAACTCTATTCTAGAATGGAGCTTCATATAGTATTTGAAGGAGAAAATCCAGAACTTAATGTATTTCAATATGGTTATGAAATGTCTTGAAAATTACGGTGGCTTGCAAGGTGCAAGTCACCTCTCTTTCAACGTGAAGCTCCGCTAGGATACACGGATCCTAAATTTGTAGTTTGCTTGTAGATCAAGATGTCATTATCACTCTAAGGGGCTTTTTAGTGCATCAAGGTTGATCAACCCAAGATGAATGATTATCAACAATGCAGCACAAAAGTTGATAACTGCAACTTGAGTGAAAGAGTTCTCTTCAATTATTAATGTGGTTTTAACATGATGCTAGATTAAGCTCCGCTGGTTATATTATGCTTGAGGAAGGAAAAATGGATAATGGGAAATATGTATGAAATAGATGAGCACTCTGAGTGTAACCAGGTAATGTTTGTGGGGGTACAAACTCTCCCTCTTTATGTTCTTTTAATTTTGTACATGGAGGTCCGACAATTTAGGAGTTGATAACAATTTAACTCACCAATGGTGCAACTTGAGAAGGCTTAGAATATAGAGCCTAAAGTTATATTGGTTGACAATTGAGAACTCACCATCAATCCGATGGTAGGGTTAAAGTCAAACACGTGTGGCAGGAGTCATTGCAGGGCATAGTTTGGTAGGGGGTTTGAGGAGGGAAGGGAAAAGGGAGTGGGGGAAAATTAACGACTTGCATTTGATAGGAGGGTTTTATAGAGGAGAGTGGAGTGGGGGGAGGGGTGGGGCAGGAAAAGCAAGCATAAGATGGTCACTGTTCATTGTCCCCTCAAATTGGAACGGCAATGAACAGTAATGAGGAGGGCCAAAACAATTGTCTCAAAACGACTTTTATACCCTCCCACGCTTCTTTGAACAGCAAACATTTCATTTCAAAATCAAAAGGGTATTATTTTAATTTTTAACCTATGTTGCATGGGTACGGGTATAGGACACGGAAAATTTGTAAAAGGTAGGCACGGGGACACAGCTATATAGATATTTATATAAAGTTATACGTATTATTTATTGGAATTAATAATTTACATTAGTGTTTTCTTTACGTTATGAGAATTAAAATCCTTCATTTTAATGTTTCTTTCATTATGTGCATTATAAATTGGAAAATTGCTAGTTTTTGAACTAGACATCCAAACATTCCTTTAAAATCATAGTTCGGATACTGATCTACGTCCAACAAGTTTCAATAAGTGGATGTGAAGGGTAGGATATATGTTTCAAAAAATGCATGACAAGTATTTTTAATTAAAACATGCATTGTATAATTCAGTAGATGCCCGAATAAATATATGCATATATGCAAGAAGTGTCCAATGAGTTTGGGTATGGGTACACATACGGGTACGTGTCCGGTATGGATACAACACTCAGATAGAAGTATCCAGATAACACAGATTTTTACTAACCTATCACATAACTTCCACTTCCCATCCTGCAACAAAAGAAGAAAAAATCATGTACCTTCCTTCACTCCTCGTCTAACCAAATAAGAAGCTCAAAGGTAATGTCCTTCCCTCCACCTTATAGCACTTAACTCCCCATTCTCTTCCCTCCTAGAAACCCTACCTGATCAAGCCAAGACCATGCTTGGAAAGTAGTCAAAGTGGAGTATAATCCGCTTTTGTGGATCATCATCCACTTTAGGATGTTTAGCAAGTGAATTAGTTTGGATTATAATCCACCAAAAGTTAAGCTAGGGTATCCCAACTTATTTTTTTGGTGGATTTAATCCATGAATCTGACAAAGTAAAAAATAGTTTTACCCCTCATGATTTCACAAATTACTAAGCCCCATTAATTACACAGCTCTCTCTCTCTAATCCCATGTCTTTTATGGTCATTCTGACAATAATAATGGATTACAATTCATTCATTTGCCAAACATTCTATTATTGAAAACAAATTATAATCCACCGAATTCACCAAACATTCTGGATGATAATTCATGTGGATTATAATCCATTTATGGATTATAATCTGAGTGAATTAGTCCAAAGTTCCCCAAACACGCTCTAATTTATGTGGAAGTCAAAATCACAAGCTACATGGAGAACGAGGATGTTAATTTTGAAGAAAACCAAGATGGACGAATTTGCGAAGTAACATGTGGCTCGCTGATCTTTATATCTTCTTTAATGTAGTGGACTTTTTTCCCCTTTTCGTATGTGAGACCAAAAAAAAAAAGAAAAAAAAAGAAAAGGAAACCTTTTAGCACAAAATCGAAAGAATGAAGCAAGCAACTTGCTCTTCTTCAAAGCAATAAGACTAAACTTACCAGACTGTTACAGTGCTGAGGACATTTAACCCTGGAAATCAGTAAAGAGCAGCAGTAGAACAAATCCCAGAGATCACAAACCCAAATCCATCAATCTAAACTCCTAAATGACCAATGCAACAATAATCTACGAATTCAAGGGAGAAACAACGACGTCTAATTAACAGACGCAACAAAGAGAAAGTGAAACCCTAACCTGCAGCTTTGACGATGGAAAAATCCGATCTGCAAGCGGAGAAAGAGTGAGAAATCGAAGAGGAGGCCGATCTCCAACGCATTGATCAAGAGAAAATCTTTACGTCCCTTAAGGATCTCAGGCAAAAATCTCTGTAATTTTCGATTTATTTCTAGGTTCTTACCTTTCCCCCTTCTTTTTTTTACTGGAGAGAAATGTAGCCAATTGACGAGGGAGAATGCAGAAGGGAAACACTAGAGCCATACCCTTAAACCACATTCCTAACTATATAATTATCTTGGACAATGCAGCAAAGAATAATTGTTTTAGATGCTTGAATGATAAGTTACTGGGCTCAGATCTTTAATTGACAAATGACAATGGCGGTTTGAGGCACCAACAATAGTACGGGAACCCGTTTTCCTTTTCCCCCCTTTTTCAATTTTAATAAAATGTATCTAATTTTAAAAAAAAATGTTTCCTCTTTATAACCCTAACTCCTAAGGCATAAAATACGCTAGGAAAGATATTTACAATTAGAAGTTACTTAGATGGAATACGACACTCCAAATAACACAATCTATCTATATCTATATCTATATTATTATCTATATATATACTACAATAAAAGAGGATTGATATGTTAAAACTTATGATTTCCTTTTATACCCTCTCAATTTTAATAATTCACAATAACTGTAAATAATAAAGTTTGTGAGGTTCTAATGGCTATTAGGTTCCCTTTAAATAATTATGTTTTTGGTTAAGCACTAATTATTATGTTAGTTATCTTGTGAGGACTTTTGGGTTCCTCTGAAATTATATTTTGGGTTGACCACTAATTCTTAATTTTGTTTTACATAACTAGTATCCAGCTCGAAAAATATAGTTATGCAAATGTAATAATATGATGTCTATACCACTACAAAAGAGGATTGCTATTTTAAAACTTTTGATTTTCTTTTATACCCTCTCAATTTTAATAATTCTCAATAACTATAAGTATTAAAGTTTGTGTGGTTCTAGTGACTATTAGGTTCCCTATAAATTATGTATTTGGATAAGCACTAATTATCATGTTAGTTATCTTGTGAGGACTTTTGGGTTTTTGTGAAATTATATTTTGGGTTAACCACTAATTCTTATTTTTGTTTTACATAACTACTACCCATCTCAAAAATATAGTTATGCATATGCAATAATATGATGTCTATAGCACTACAAAAGAGGATTGCTATTTTAAAACTTTTGATTTTCTTTTATACCCTCTCAATTTTAATAATTCTCAATAACTTTAAGTATTAAAGTTTGTGTGGATCTAGTGACTATTAGGTTCTCTGAAATTATGTTTTTTTAAGCACTAATTATCGTGCTAGTTATCTTGTGAGGACTTTTGGGTTCCCCTGAAATTGTGTTTTTGGTTAAGCGGTTATTCTTAATTTTGTTTAACATAACTACTATCCAGCTCAAAAATATAGTTATGCATATGCAATAATATGATGAAGTATAATGTTTTAGAGCAACTAACCAAGATTATATTTTAGTTAAGCAATAATTATCATGTTAGTTATCTTGTGAGGACTTTTGGGTTCCTGTAAAATTATATTTTGGGTTAACCACTAATTTTTAATTTTGTTTTACATAACTACTATCCAGCTCGGAAATATAGTTATGCATATGCAATAATATGATGTCTATACCTATAAAAGAGGATTGCTATGTTAAAACTTTTGGTTTTCTTTTATACCCTCTCAATTTTAATAATTCTCAATAACTATAAGTATTACAGTTTGTGTGGTTCTAATGACTATTAGCTTCCCTTGAAATTATATTTTTGGTTAAGCACTAATTATCATGTTAGTTATATTGTGAGAACTTTTGGGTTCCCGTGAAATTGTATTTTTAGTTAAGCAGTTATTCTTAATTTTGTTTAACATAACTACTATCCTACTCGAAAATATAGTTATGCATATGCAATAATATGATGAAGGATAATGTTTTAGAGCAACTAATCAAGATTATATATGCAAAGTTCTCTTTATGCACGTAGAAAGATACAATTTTCATCTTGACTAAGTTAAATATGAGAAATATTTGACCAATAATTACTTCATGTTCCTTATATAGAAGAATGGAGAACTCAGTTGTAGTTATACCATAGAACCATGCCTAATGTTGTACAAATTCGGTGCAATGTGCTAATATAATAGCTAACTATCTTGAATTGGACTCCCATGAAAGGAGAGAATGAGCACTAAAGAGTAACTTCTACAAAAAAATATAGGAGGATGGATAATCAAATTATTTGAAGAGTCAATAGTAAAGTTTAATTACAAGATATTGAGGGTTAAATAATAATGATGTGTGCTCAATTTAACAATATAAGAAATTAGATAACGTTAAAATATCCTTAAATTTATAATCTAAAGCGAACCACTACGTAAAATATGCCGACTCTAGATCATAAGGATACTTTTTGGTAGTCATTTTCTTCATAAGAAACTTATTTTGACACAATATTAGAGTGGATCCCTAAAGCTTTTGCTGTTTTGAGATAACCAGCTAATACTCGTTTATTAAATTATAAATTTAACATTAAAAACTAATTTAATAACATATGTTAATTTATAATTGTATCATGCATTACATGCAACGCACGTATAGCATACTAGTTTGTACAAACGAGGCATGAAACATACGGATATAACATTACTGGCGTTACATTTGATTACAAGTACACCTTATTCCAGCGGATACTATTAGAATTCCAATTATAAATGTCAATCAGAGCACAATTTGAAGACCATTAGCAAGAGCGATAGTAAATAGTTCACTCGACATGATGACGTTGAGAAAAGCATGTCTTCAATTATGCAGCAAAAATATCATTAATATAATTATTTCAATCAAAATATTTTTCTACAATGAAAACCAAAAACATCCGAATTTTAGTAGACTTTGGATAACATCAGCAAAGGGCGCCGCGTTGTGTTCCCTCTCAGATCACACGGTGGGAGTCTTCCCCCATAGATTAGCCATATAGCCGCACTCCTGGATTTTGAAACACCTTTGTGCTGCAAACCAAATTGCTGAGTTAAAGCATGTTAAACAATGCATACAGAGATGACAGTAAAACTGTAAAATGATATGAGATTAAACTGTCGCTGGTATTAGCTGTAACCTCTTCATCTCCGTCTTAACATATAGATTTGTTTTGCAAGAAATGAACAATTGAGATTAGTGAAAACAAAAACATCATTGTGCTTCTGTTTACACTGGATGCAGAGAGATTAGTGAAATTACTACAGAACTGCAAATAAACCGACAAATATTGGCTATATCTTAAAATAACTAAATCCATTTGCACATGTAGAATGCAGGAAGAATGTCTTTTAGAGCCAAATAATGTTTAGCAGCTTAGAATCTTAAGGCACATCTTCTTAGGACTCCAGAATTAGTGTGTGCTCCCAGCCTAGGTCTTAGAGTACGTCTTCTTAGGAATCCCGAATTTGTGTTTCTTGTTTTGATAAAGCAACCTCTTTCCTGTGGGTCCGATCCTGAATTATAGACCATCTTTCCAGTAGGTCCGATCCTGAATTATAGACCAACTTGGGAGACGGTGATGCAGTCTACTCGATAAGTTTATATTTAAGCTTTTAGGTAATAATCAAGAAAAAGATGTATACGCAAGCTTCTGCGTCTCCAACATATGTTATAAATTTTGTTTGTCTCAACAGTCTACGAGATATGAGGGTGATGTCACTGTATTCTTCAAATTGGATCACTAATAACCAACAATGTTATTCATGATTGTGCTTGACTTCATTTCTACAGGTTACAATGAAAAACAATCAGAAATAACCAACAATGTTATTCATGATTGTGCTTGACTTCATTTCTACAGGTTACAATGAAAAACAATCAGAAATAATGTTCTGTATTGCCATGAGTAGTGCTTGACTTCATTTCTACAGGTTACAATGAAAAACAATCAGAAATAATGTTCTGTATTGCCATGAGTAGTAGCTGGCAGGACTTCCTTTGTAAATTTATGCCTTGGCTTTATGAAATATGAATTGTTCTCCAATTCCTTTTCAAGGCAAAATTCACTATACTCACAAGCCTTTCTCAAATCATCTAGTATAACTTCCATCAAACTATGATTTGAGGACATGAACACAAATGTCAAATTAAAAAATGGATAAGGTGTCTCAGACACAGTTCTTCAAGTCTAGACATGAAGACAATGCTATAGACATGTTTCTTTTTTATTTAAGTTTGAATTTATGTATATGTTTGAGTTTGGTAAACCGTATCCGTATCCGATGAAATATCCGTAACCGTATCCGTTAGGATACGAATATGGTTACTCAAATCTATAACCGATAGGATATGGTTATGGATATGGTTTTGTAGTGAAATATCCGTATCCGTATCCGAAATAACCGAATACATATTAGTCATACTCTTACGATAGTTTCGATTCTTAGATTATGGATTTGTGGTTAATTTTGATGATCAAGATGACTAATCTTAACTATTTAGTTATAATGGACATATTAACGAACTTTTTTGTATCACATGAACTATGTTTTTCTCAATACTATCTAGTTTTCTCATATCTGTTTTGTATCCGCATGCATATCTGCTTATATATCCGCATGTATATCCGTAACCGTATCCGATTTTAGCGGATATGGTTATAAGTTTTTCTTACCGAGGTATATCCGTATCCGTATCCGTATCCGAGATGGGTAAGCGGATATGGATATGGAAAGCATCATATCCGAGCCGTATCCGGACCGAATGCACCCCTAAGGACCATACATCAAGAAAAGTTAGAAAATAGTTAACTTTCTGTGAATTTCGATATGAGAGGCAAACATCATTGACATCATATACCTAATTGCTTGATGAGGGGGAAAAATCTTACATCCTATGCCTAATTCCATATGCTCTGGGAAAATGAAGTAGCTAAGTTGATAAAAGTTGACACAGATAATATTTGAGGTGTCATACAGAGATAGACATGTAGACATGTAAGAATTTTAGGAAGAATCTTTCCCCTACTAAATGTAGATATTTTGCTTTGTGTGTTTAATGCCTCAATATTAGTACTTTTCCTTACAAAACTACCTTAACATTGCATGCAAGATTTTGTCAGTTTCTGTGTTGACGCGTCTGTGATTAATTCAGTGCCTATGCCACTTCTGATATTTGACAATTTCTGGCCTTCTCATGCCTGTATTAATTATTAATCCATTCCAATACTTTATAATCTACAATTTGGTAATTTTTTAATTATTACATGGTA